TGATGGGTTTTTTCTGGTTCAATAAAAGACACATGAGGTTTTTGTTCAGGGCAGCACTTACCTCTCTGGTTGCTATCATGGGAAGCTGCTTGCCTCTCTGAGCCTCATACATTAGTTATTCCTTTGAAAATAGTTGAATGTAAGAGTTTGTGTTTCATGTTGTCCCCTCACCATCCCCTCCCTAAGAGCAGAATGACAACAATAAATGTGTGAAACTCCTGCGCTTGTTGAGAGACAGACATGAACATAGACAGGAAACAGAAGAAGTCCAGGGAGGATATTGGGAGATGACTATAGGTGTGACAGAATGACAGAATGGAAATAATCACCTGAGTTTCCAAGTGAGAACAGAGGTGTTTCAAGAAAAGAGGGAGAAGTGTGACACCTGGTCACAGCCCACAGGCAGAGGTGGAGCTGTAACAATAACTGGCTCAGGTTTAGTGACCACATGTACCAGGTGCCACAAATGTATTTTGTTTGCTTTATCTAAATACTCTCCATAGTCATCACCTCTTTCCATTGCCACCCCCAGCTTATAGAAGAGGAAGTTAAAGTATACAAAGTAACTAACTTATATAAATTAGTAGTTAATAAAGGAGCTTGAAATTTAACTCAGTTTATCCTGTCCTGCTTCTAACCTCAGCTTACATTGTCTATAAACCTAGTGTAACTAGAAAAAAAGAGGATAGGCAGAGTTCATTAAAAGAGATTTTCAAAAATGTACAGACTTTCATCCTCTTAAATATCTGTCTCTTCTTTAGAAAAGTATTCTACCTAGATGTATTATGGCCTAATAGTGTTAACAAAATAAAATTTTGTTTTCAAAATTTAAAAAGCAGCCTTCAAATGGCTTAGTTTTCCTGCTTATTTTTGAGATATGTGTATTTGAAATAAATCTGCCAATATTCCTTTAGTACCATTTTTTTTAGAATTGATCTGAAATTGCATCTGATCCAGAATTGATCTGTGTTCTGATCCCCAAATCTATTTTTTCTCTATGAAACAGTAAGAAATATTTTTGGAGCAAAAGCAAATGAAATCTATTGATTTGTGTGATGTATATTTATTAGGTGCCTACTCTGTGTTATTTGCCGTCTTAGGCAATGGCCAGATAAGGCCTCTAGGCCTTGTTCAATGGTTAAAGGAAGAAATAACAGCCGTGATGTGATGCCAGTGAAGGAAATTTGGCTGAGTCTGGAATAGCAAGAAGAAGACCATGTGAAAGCTGGGGTAGGGGCTCCAACACTGGAACAGAACTGCCTGCTTTGGGAAGAGAGCTACCAGATGTGCCAGGAGAAGTCAACCCCCAGGGTTGAAAACAGAGAGATTCCAAGGATCCAATCATGTCATGTCAGTATTAGCTGGTAGTATTACAGAAACCAAGGGTGTGTTTCACTGTGATGATGAGCCATTAAAAGGGTTCTTTTTCAACACTGAACACTTTGAGCTGTAACTTGGCTCCTCTAGATGCAATTCCAGAACAGAATTTGTCTATAAACACTTTCTCAGATCTTCATCTGCCCCCTAACTTTCTAGGCCAATGCTCTTTGGAGCATGGGTCAGGCAGTACTGGGAGCTTGTTAAAAATGCAAAATTACTTATCTCACCTCAGGAATTCTAAGTCAGATTCTGCATTTTATCAAGATCTGCAAAAGATTTTATGCACATTTTAGTTTGTGAAGCATCAGTTTAGAATTTAGAAGACCCATTAAAAAAAAAAACTTAACTACTGCATCTTGATTCTTGTTACTCTTCCATTTTTCCTTATCTTTAATAATTCTTAAAGCAATAATAAATCTTCCTGTCACTTCCTTACAAAACATCAATGTCCCTTCTCTTCTCCAACTCCAGTCTCAGCTGCTGCCTAGCTCTGTCTCCTCACACCTTCTGAACCATTTTCAATCTTCAGATGTAGCCCTTCATGTTCTTAGGTCCGAGTAGCATTGACTGCTTCTGTCACTTCCACATCCCCCTCTTCCTGTCATTTCTGATTCTTTTTTAACTTCTGGGAGACATATATTCTTCTTCTTC